GGCCCGAGCGGCGGGGGGCGGTGTCTGATTATCATGCTGTGAGTGTTTGCCTTCTAGGTAAAAAGAACACGGCACAGCACCCGCAAGGGCCCCTGTCCGTCACTGGAGGCGATGCAGGTGCTCCAGGGCTGGCTGGCAGAGAGGTCTCTCAGATCTTACAGCTGGTGCTCTTGGCCTCTAAAAGAAGCGACACCGTTAACTTACAACCTGGATAATCTGTCCCCGTACACAGTTTTTCAACAATTCGCTTGTTCCAAGATGAGAAATGGAGAGGGTGTTGGAAGGGCAGGAGGGATCCTTTATTTTCGATTTGTGAGTAACAACAAAGCAACAAAGGATAATTTGCTACTTAAAACGTGGAAGGAGACAAATGCAAACCTGAAGAACATAAATGTGTAAGAAGTAATGTATTTCCCTTGGTAACAAATGGATCCATTTATAATTAAGACAGTTTTAAGTTAAATCTTAATAGTCATCATGCAAAGAGTACTGAGTTTTTCCAGGAAAGAAGTCACAGAAAAAGCTTACAAAAGAAAAAAATTAAAATTGGTCATTAAATCATGGCCTAAAGTATATTCTTTTAACCAATGATTTATAGCACTGCAGTTTGATGAATAACTAGAACTTCTTTACAGTAGTATGAAAAGCTGTCACTTAGTAGGCAGGCTGAGTTATAGAAGAAACCGAGAGGGCAGTACTATCATCCCTCACCCTATTTTCCCTTTACACAGCATGTCCTGTTACATCATACATAGTAATTGTCATATTGTGGCTACACTTGCTTCCTTTTTACCTCACTGATGTCAAAGTTAATTGCTGAACACGTTGAAAACATTATATAATTATTAGGCATGATTATGTTAGAGATTATAAACCTCGTCGCAATCATTTGAGTGGATTGCACAATGCTATTTGAGTTTTGATTATCATGCTGTGAGTGTTTGCCTTCTAGGTAAAAAGAACAAATACCACAACAAAAGTAGAACAAATGGAAACCAAGAAATAAAAATCTCCAGGTACAAAATATAACTAACTAATCATTTTCTTAGCATATCATCTGTGACATGCTACCTGATTTTTTTCTGGAAGGTATTTCACTATTAGGAAAGTTGTGTTTGCAGCTTGATGTCAAGTGGAGCCCAGATGACAGATAAAACTGCCAACCAACAGTTTCAGTTCAACTGAAACAACCAAAAAATTCCATCAGCCTCCTTAAAGTGCAATCAGGGATGACCTCTGTGTTTTATAGCTGTGTCTTCATTGATAGATTCACTCTCTGAGTAACAGCTACATAGAAACTGGCAAGTTTCTTAAAAGTTCTACCTTGCTCACAAGCAAAATCCCAGTTTTGTCTGAATTACTTCCACCAGCTGTCACTAATGCTACAGAACTGTCAGCCAGATAGATGAGAGCTGACAGTCCCTAATGGGTTGAACAAAGGAGGTCTAGACTAACATAATGCCATCACACTATTAACACTAAAATCAGTATCTCCAGATTCTTGTCACTTTGGCTTCATGTAGAAACTGAAAAAGCAGAGAAGACCCATTAAATCCCTCTGAATGCAACATCCAAATCCATGAGCATCATAGATGTTTACAGAGAATCATATGATCTGGGATACTGGTGAATACTCTTAAGTAGCAAGAAAGGTTTTTCTTCTTCTGAAAGTAAAGGAAATTTACAAAAAATGTAGCAGAACTTATTTTTGTGCTGAATCCTTTTTACAGTCAGAATGCTAAAAAAAATGCTATTTATATTTTTTGCTTATAGTTCTCTGTTAGCATTTAATTTACCTTTGAACATTTCAGCACAATTGCTCTGAAAACTTCTCTTTATATCAAGTTGATAGTACCTTGGCTACTATTTAAATATTTGCTTTTGAAAATGAACACGATCCCGTTATTGATACTGGTTTACTTTAATACACTGCACGACAGACAGCACCGGCCCACAGTCTGTTTTGTGTGTGATTCAGGCAGAGATAAGCAGAGGTGTTGACTTTCAACAAACAAGCTGGGAGCAGCTTTAGCCATCTGTCTCTGATCTTACTCTAGTGTCTGAGTGAGTCTCCCAATATAGGTATACAGGTAACACTCAGTGCACCAGATGAGCAATGCTGGTTCACAAACATTTAGTGGAAGCAAAGACACAGACCTGGCTGATACAAAAAA